GCGATGTAGCAAGAGGACTGGACCATTTCTTCATCTACCCTTGTGTCAAAATTATGTCGGTTCAATAGGTAAATCCCATTGTGTGCTGCATCAAAGAATTTCATGGCCAATGATACTTTTGGCACGTCAGAGTTCTTTTGTGTAGTGAATGTTGTCACAATTCCAATTCTCGTAAGTTTTTTTCTGTGTCTGGTGAGGGAACAGCTTTAGTTTTAGTATGAAATGGATAAAAAAAACTACCTCTGTCTGATGTTAATATGCATATTAAAAGCTTTTTGTTATTTATACAAAATCATTAATTTGATGTGTTTTATGAATAAAGGATGAATAAAATGTGAAATCATTGTATAATAATTTACAAAATAAATATTGACTTTACCTACCAGCTTTATTTTTAGTTAAACTAATAGATTGGTGAGCCCCAACATGGAGTAGTAGGAATTTCAATCCTCACTAGGTGGCCCATACTTGCTTACTAAAGATTGTGCACTAAAGCAGGCAAGTAAAAAGAATTATGGTTAGTCGATAAAACAAGACAAGCTGTTGTCAAATAGAGAATTGCAAGTGAGTTGAAACAGTAAATTTGTTGCCAAACAACATCTCGATGGAATCAATTGCCTTGAATGTAGCACGCAACGAACTGATGTTGACAGAAGAGAAGTCAAACGCCGCTTGCAAAAGAAATTCTTCACAGACATCGAAACAATGAAAGATAAAAGTGAAAAGGCGACAATGGGATGGCAAAATAGCCAATTCCCCAGTCAAGAGAAAACAAAGACAAGAATAATCCAGAAAAAGGAAAAAAGGCAAAAATATAATAAAAGGGGGAAAAACAAGAAGAAGAAAAGGAAAAAAGATGAAAAGAAAAGGAAAGAAGAAAGAAAAGGAAAAAAGAAAAGGAAAAAAAGAAAAAAAGAAGAAAACAAAACAAAAGAAGAAAAGAAAAAAGTAAAATGAAAAATATATAAAATAAGAATAAAAAAGGGAAGGGAGGAAAATAGTTGAATAATGTATTGTCCAGTCTTTTGCCCATCCTTCAAGGGTGCTATCATCTTTACCACCAACAACAGTAAAATGTCCTTGTCTCTTCAGAAGCAAACAGAAGCAGATTCTCTAAATAAAAGTCATTAGCAAAATAATGAGTTAGATAACGAAACGTCACGGTAATCTTCAGATAAAATTCATTTGTTCATCTTTCTCTTCTTGTCACTATGACAACAACAGAAAGCCTCTGTAGGATAGGGGAAGGAGATGGGTGCCATCAATGTCATTTCAGGTGATTCTCATCTTCAAGCGTGTCAGGTTATCATTAATTTAGCGGTCTTCAAGATTTCATTCTCGTTCACGCCCACTCTTTTCTTTCAAACAAAAATTAATCACTTTGCTTTCAAAAAAATCATCATAACCTTGCTAGACTGACAGTATTTCTGTTCATTTAAAACATTATGTAAATCTTTCCTCGTATTCGAACACCAACTAAATTTAGCTTAATTCAGTATAAAGGGGAGTGGGAGAAGATTGGTGCTAGACAATCTTACAAGTAGAAAGAGCCTACTTTGAAAAACCGGCATTGGAACTCGGTATGATTTGAACACTAACGACTGATGCATATACCATATCCAAAGACAAACAAAGGGATGTACAGACTTGTCTATATATTAAGAACAAGAGAGATAAAGAGCAAGAAAGGAGGTGGGCGCTTTTCTTTTCTTTTTAAAAACAAATCCAGCTGCAGACATAGATTTCATAATGAAGCGATTTTTTCTCTATAAATTAGCACCTGCTGAGTTCGCGTGTTCAGAAAGAAAATAAACTTAGGCAATATTCTCAAACTTCAAAGTAAAAAACAAAAATATACTACATAGCTGTAAACAAAAAAAAAAAAAAAGAAGTTACTGAACAAGTTTAATTTGAATTATTCCTCAATACATATTCATATTTGACAAAGTTATTACAAGAGATGAAGAGTAATCTAACAGCCAAAACTGAAAATATTCCATTTACAAACGAGGAGGGAGATAGCAAATATATTTATTTACAACAGATTCATGGACATTTTTGAATTGGTGCGTTTTTATAATATTAATTTAAAAAAAAAAGGAAGCCCGCAGCAGTCTTTTAAATCATAACAGGTTCATTTCAATAAAATCAAAATCCCTATTTTTTAAAATTCTATTTTTCTTTTGAAATGTTAATTTATATTTGTATACGGTAGAGTTATGGATAGCGGCTTGGATTGAGGAATCAGAGAGCCGAGTTCGAATTCCAGTCAAATCCATTACATTCACTTATGTGCTAATACTCTTGGAGAAGATATGAATCCTCTTCTCCAACCCCCCCCCCAGCTATGGGTAAATATAGCAGGATGACAAATGGATAACGGCAGAAAGAAATGGCAACCTACACGGGAAAAAAAATCTGCCTTGTCAGTCATGTATCAAAAGATACATGATCACCTAAGCGTGTATCATGCATGGCACATAACTGACTGATGTGAGTTTGGAACAACAAATTCAAATAAAAAATGACCTTTACTTTTTCTTATCAATAAAGATCTTTAAAAAGATAAAGCTCAAATCAAACCAAAATATTTTTAGACTGTTGTACTAAAATGGTTTAGACTGTTGTACTAAAATGGTTTAGACTGTTGTACTAAAATGGTTTAGACTGTTGTACTAAAATGGTTTAACTGTTTGGGTTTAGACTGTTGTACTAAAATGGTTTAGACTGTTGTACTAAAATGGTTTAGACTGTTGTACTAAAATGGTTTAGACTGTTGTACTAAAATGGTTTAGACTGTTGTACTAAAATGGTTTAGACTGTTGTACTAAAATGGTTTAGACTGTTGTACTAAAATGGTTTAGACTGTTGTACTAAAAAATGGTTTAGACTGTTGTACTAAAATGGTTTAGACTGTTGTACTAAAATGGTTTAGACTGTTGTACTAAAAAAATGGTTTAGACTGTTGTACTAAAATGGTTTAGACTGTTGTACTAAAATGGTTTAGACTGTTGTACTAAAATGGTTTAGACTGTTGTACTAAATGGTTTAGACTGTTGTACTAAACTGGTTTAGACTGTTTATAAAAATGGTTTAGACTGTTGTACTAAAATGGTTTAGACTGTTGTACTAAAATGGTTTAGACTGTTGTACTAAAATGGTTTAGACTGTTGTACTAAAATGGTTTAGACTGTTGTACTAAAATGGTTTATCAGTTAGCTTTTACAATTAATAGAACTGAGTATTTTTCATAAAATTATTAGGAAAAAAATTTGACACAAGGTAAATTTTTCAGAGTCCATTTTGAAAGCAATTTACATTTTACAATATGTGAGTAAATGTCAAGATTTTTTTTTTAAATTCAAATTGAAAATTAGAAATTTTTTTTTTGGCTTTTTGCATTTCTTTCATCTTTATCTCTGCCAAGTGTCACTCTTTTTCGCAACTGTCAAAGCCATAAACAGTCAAAATATTTATGAGAATGGACAATGTTTTATCTATGAAACTCAAAAACTTTTTTATTTTGTTCGCAAAGGGGCACTGTTAAAAAAATATCATTTAAAATTAAATCTTTACCTGATAGATGATGAATTTACTAACTAACATAAATAAAACAAAATTTACTAACTAACCAACTTTTGTACTCACAAAAATTAGAATATGAAAGAAATCAGTTTTTATTCTTATGTTTTGAAATATTTTAATTTTTAAAATCAATCCCGAAAACACCCAAGAGAGCAAATCCACCCCAAAGTAAAAGATTTTTAATTCTTTAGAAAGAACTAAGCATTTTGCTGAAGCTGTCTGAGCTCTGATTAAGTTACTGGATTTTTCAACTGAGCAAAATGTCTAGAAATCCAAAATCGAATGGAATTAATGAGATATTCTTTGATGAGATTCAAGGATAAAATGAAAATTTCACATTTGTGTTTTGTAGACCAACAACACTTGAATATCTCCCTTTTAATAATCGACATGTTCAAATTTATCCTCAAATCCAAATTCCATTTGTTCTTCAAATGCCCAACACGGAATAAGAATCAAGAGAATTCACAGAAGAAAGATAAAGATGACCTCATTCATGAAAATCAGCTGCTTCTTAAAGATTTAACCATTGTCTCAATCTTCAAAAGTACAGCTGTCGACTCTAAAGTCAACATATGAACGTTCTTAACTCAATATAACTCAACAAAACTCTAAGAAGACGTCAATGTTCAGACAAATCAAAATCTATATGGGTCAAATTATTGTAATTCACTGTACGCTGGCAAAACCAGAATGGTATTATTAATTTAACAAAATATATTTTAGTTTTGCTAAATTGAAAGCTACTGCCAAATTTGTTTTATGATAAAGACAAAGTCAAGATAAATAATTTATATTATTATTATTATTAATAAATATGTTTTTTATCATTAAAAAGACGTTTTATTGGATTTGTAAAAGTGTAAAAAGCCATCACAACTATTCACTACAACAAAGTGTTGGAAAGAGAAAATCAGATTTGGAAAAAAAAAAAAGCAAAAAAGCGGTCAGTCACATCAAGTTAACCAGTGAAAATGAAAAGAAAGAATAAAAGCTAAAATATAAAATTACATAAGGTAAATAATCAACAACAACAACAAAACTTACGTAAGAACCTGACAGCAACGGGATATTAGTCTATCATGGATGAATGCGAAAGAAGGCGGGGAGGGTGGCTGGGTGATGGGAGGGCAGATGGGCGAGGGGCGAGTGTCTTGTCCTTTGAGAGTAATGGTCACTGTTCTATGTGGACTTCAGACCAAAAGTGGACACAAGTGTTCTCATTGAGATTTCTTTATTTTTCCTCGAGTTTTATATTTAATTGGCTACTTTGACTGGCCATTCACCTCCATTTCATTTCTGCAGACAAACTGACCAACTGCTTTTATATACTTTACAGGTGACGGGGAGGGTTGTATTCTCAAGGTGAGAGAGAAGGGAGAGGTATAAACGGAAGTGAGGTGTCACAAAACGTTTCAATGAAATATGGTAAATAGAGAAACATCATCATCATCATTTATATCCCAAATAAAAGATAAAGTGTGGGAGATAAGGAAAGCAAGAAGAAAAGAATGATAGGCATAGAGAGTGAAGAGTAAGAAAGAAGAGAGAGAGAACATAAAAAGGAAAGAGAGTGAGAAAGAAGAAGGGACAATGAGGCAGGGAGGGAAATAAGAGTGGAACAATAAGACAGGCAGGAAGAGAAGAGGGGAACAATGAGACGGGGAGGAAGAGAAGAGGGGAACAATGAGACGGGGAGGAAGAGAAGAGGGGAACAATGAGACGGGAAGGAAGAGAAGAGGGGAACAATGAGACGGGAAGGAAGAGAAGAGGGGAACAATGAGACAGGAAGGATGAGAAGAGGAGAACAATGAAACAGGGAGGAAAAGAAGGGAACAATGAGACGGGAAGAGAAAGAAGGGAAATGAGAGAGAGTGGCCAAGAAGAAGGAAAATGAGAGAGAGTGGCCAAGAAGAAGGAAAATGAGAGAGAGTGGCCAAGAAGAAGGAAAATGAGAGAGAGTGGCCAAGAAGAAGGAAAATGAGAGAGAGTGGCCAAGAAGAAGGAAAATGAGAGAGAGGGAGTAAGAAGAAGGAAAATGAGAGAGAGTGGCCAAGAAGAAGGAAAATGAGAGAGAATGAGTAAGAAGGAAAGTGAGAGAGAACGAGTAAGAAGAAGGAAAGTGAGAGAGAACGAGTAAGAAGAAGGAAAGTGAGAGAGAACGAGTAAGAAGAAGGAAAGTGAGAGAGAACGAGTAAGAAGAAGGAAAATGAGAGAGAACGAGTAAGAAGAAGGAAAATGAGAGAGAACAAGTAAGAAGAAGGAAAGTGAGAGAGAACGAGTAAGAAGAAGGAAAATGAGAGAGAACGAGTAAGAAGAAGGAAAGTGAGAGAGAACGAGTAAGAAGAAGGAAAATGAGAGAGAGTGGTTAAGACAGAATAAATACTAAAGAGAATAAGAATAGCAAAAGAAAAGAAAATAGTAAAATTACTAGAAAGCATATTTAGAAGCAAAAAAGTATGTTTTGGTCAATGAGCTTCTTAAAAATTCAAAGAATTCATATAATTCCACTTAAGTTCTTCCCTACAAAAATATTTACCATTTTGCAAAAACAGAGTTAAAAATGAGAATATCCTTTAAATAAAATTATAAAATTGGGCTTTGAAAAAAACACGAAAAAAACCCAAATATTATCCAAGAGCACATTTAAATTTGACCAAACACCAGCAGATTTAGCTACTATCCAAAGACTAAAACCAAATACAAACTTGATATTCATTCAAAATTTGATATTTCAGAATTTTTATTCATAAATGCATTTAGATGAGAAAGAAAAATTGGCAGATATTAATTTGACTAAATTTTATTCTCAAATCTTTAATATAAATGTCAAAAAAGAAAACAAAAAATTCTGGCTAATTTTGTATAATTTTTTAGAAAGGTAAATTTTTTGAAAAGGCATATGATGTTATCAAAGACTTTTTAAAACACTTCTTGATTTGATAACCCTGTGATTTGCAGACCCTTGACTCTGACTCAAAAAACGGAAAAGTAGCTTCAAAAGTTAAGTAAGAAAGATGAAAAGAGTAAATAAGTGGGTGGAACGTAAAAGGAAATAAGCAGAGACAAAGATGACCAGTGGTCAAGCACAGGATTTGAAAGTTCCATTTTTAAAAGAAACACTTGAAAAGGATGACCTGAAACCAAACAAATGGCTGTGAAAGGAAGATGAGAAATAAGAGAGAACAGATTGCAGACAAGAATGAAATTGCAAAGGAGAGACAAGTACGGATAAAAAGAGAAAGATGGTGAAAGATGGTGATGAGAGAGAAAGGTTGATGGTTGATGAAGAGGAGGTTGATGAGGAGAGAAGAGGAGGTTGATGGTGAGAGAGAAGAGGAGGTTGATGGTGAGAGAGAAGAGGAGGTTGATGGTGAGAGAGAAGAGGAGGTTGATGGTGAGAGAGAAGAGGAGGTTGATGGTGAGAGAGAAGAGGAGGTTGATGGTGAGAGAGGAGGTTGATGGGTGAGGAGGTTGATGGTGAGAGAGAAGAGGAGGTTGATGGTGAGAGAGAAGAGGAGGTTGATGGTGAGAGAGAAGAGGTGAAGGGTGAGAGGAGAAGGAAAGAATTGAATTAAAAAAAATAACTGAAAATGAGTAAGGGAAATGAAAGAGGACAAAGTAGCAGGTGGAGAGGGAGAGAAGATTAGGGGGAAAAGTGGTGGTAAGAGAGAGCAAAATAATGGGAGAGAGATAGAAAAAATTATGGATTGAGGGGTGAGAGATCAAGACAAGAAAGCCAGCAGGGTAAGGGGAGACAAGAAAGCCAGATGTGGAAGGGAAGACAAAAAGAAACAAGAAAAACATAAGAGTGAGGAGAGAAGGAAAGAGAGACAAGAAAACCCAATTGAGTGGTGAGGAGAGAGAAACAAGAGACAAGAAAATCAGTAGGGTGGGAAGAAAGAGAGACAAAAATATCAGTTGGGTGGGAGGAGAGTGAGGCAAGAAAATCAGTTGGGTGGGAGGAGAGTGAGGCAAGAAAATCAGTTGGGTGGGAGGAGAGTGAGGCAAGAAAATCAGTTGGGTGGGAGGAGAGAGAGAAAATAGGAAAACTGGTGGGGGTGATAATTATTGGTGCTGGAGAAATGAGAAAAATGAAGAAAAAAAGACAAAAGAAGAAAAAAAAGAGAAAAGCCATGAAATGGTAAGTGGGCAAATTGAGAAAAAAAGTTATATGTTCCTTCTCAACCCCAAGAGTCTAAGAGAATTTCAGGAGCCAATTCTCTTCTCAATTTTCTTCTTACTAACAAGTACTCCAAGTACTCAGAAGCCAAGACCAAACTTCTAACTTAAGATTAGGCATTCTTGGAATTCCTTCAAATTATGTGATACAAAGTGTGCGTGTGATTAACATAGTATTGTTTAATGTATAAAAGGATCTTAGTTAAAAAGAAAAAAAAAAATTAATCTTATGTTTATTTACAGTTAGTCATACAACATTTGTTGAGAAATTCTTTTTCATGATTGTTGCACAATTTGGAAATGAGGAAAATAATTCGTTTCCTTTGTGAAGAAAACAAAAATACTTTCCTGATTCATCCTATATTCTTGAATCTATGATCTTAAGACGCCAGAAAATGAGGATCAGCTTAATCAGGAAAACAGATGCCCAAGCTCATCATTGTCCTTCAAATCTTTGAAGAGCAAAAAAAAAAAAAAAAAGAAAAGTTTTTCCGGTTATTGATAATCATTAACTATAAGCTTAAAATCCGCACTACATGAAGAGTTTTAAGCTAACTCCTGCAGAGGACTAATTGGACCAAAACTGAAAAGAGACCTCTGGTCCAGATTAGAAAACAAGCAATGATAATTTTAAAGAAATAACTTTGAATTTCTCAATTCACTCTATGGAACTTGAAAACCTCACTTTAACTCTGATTTGGGCTTATATGTCAAATTCTGACCAAAAGCCTGATTTGGACTGAAATTCCAATTCAGGACAAAAATTGAGTTCTTCAAATCACAAATTCCGCAGAACTTCAAAACCTCACATCACAAAACTTTTCACTTTAATTCTTGTTTCTTGGCATTTTGAAGAAATAAAATTGATTTCCTCAACTCACAAAGTTTGAGATATTTTTAACTCAACTTAAAACAAAAAAATTTAAATTTACAAAGCTTTTGTGTTACTTTGAACTCAATATAAATTAAAAACTTCTAAAAATCACTAATTTTTTTTCTTAGTTATTTTAAAATTTGAATTTTTAACTGTTCCCTCCTCATCCAGACACAAATCCCAATGTTGGATGTTCAAGCACCTGATGAAGGTCAGATTTTCAATTTTTTTTCAATTCTGGGATCATTCTGGCATCATCCGTAATTCCAAAAGGTATAACATGTTTATGTAGAGCAAGTGTGGCTCGAGTCAGAAGGGTTTCAAAGAAAATATGCCATTTATTTATTTAGATTATTAACCAAGCAGCCATTCAGGCAAAGAAACAGAAGGTAAAAAATATAAGACATACAGAGGACAGGGATAATTGAAATCATTGAAGTAGAAAAGTGTTTAAAACATAAGAGAAACCACATTGTAGATAAATAAAGTTAACATCTGCCAATACAATCAAAATATGCAGACCTTCACAGCTAGAACCCACCAGTCCACATACACCAAGTGGACTCATCCCCATCCCCTTCATATTCCATTGGTAAGGAGGAAGTTTCACTCAGCTGGCTTCTTTCCCAGGGCTTTTACAATGTGGAATAGACTTTCAAAAGTATGCTTCCCCAATCACTATAATCAGAACCTCTTCAAGAGTCAACCATTATCTGACATATCCTCATAATATTCACCTTTTACCCCGCCCTCTCTGTATGTTATTACGATCTCATTTAATAACCTTGAGTGACTCTTGGGCCTGCTATTGGGTAAAAAAAAAAAAAATAAATTAAAAAAAAAAAAATGTATTTTGATTTCCTTTTTGAAGACTTCTAAAATCTTGACATTTTAAAAGAGGGAGAGTTTGGTTTGGTTTATTTAGTTTAACAGCATATTAACCTCAAAGAGTTATTTAATGCCAAAAAGATTTTTCTGATAGGTTCGTATGAATAAGTCTTCTTTGTATGGAATCATTTCATAGATCAGTTTTCATTGATGTATTTTATAAAGAGGGTTTTTGTCAAGAGTCAAATATATTGCTGGTAATAATTTTTCTTCAGAAAGGTATTGCTGGTAATAATTTTTCTTCAGAAAGGTATTGCTGGTAATAATTTTTCTTCAGAAAGGTATTGCTGGTAATAATTTTTCCTTCCAAAATAGGTAACAAAACCATGTAGGTAAGCAGATTTAGTAAACTGTTTTTTTTTATATATATATTTTCCTGTAGAGCCAATTTCTTTAATGAAATTTAAGATATTACGTGGATCGGTATTTTGAAATAGATCCTTTAAGTTATCTGATTTGTAGAGTTTGATTCAGGATGCTGGACATTACAGCAATTTAGTAGAATGTGTTTGCCTGTATATGGTTCCTGGCAAGGGACACATTGGCAGTTTCTCAATCTTTTAGTAGATATTGGTGGGTTATGTATGTATGTATGTATTGTCCGATATGAAGTCTGGCTAGAACCACCTCCTCTCTCCTTAAAAAGGAGGGAGAGTGTGCAGTGATAAAGTATGTTCATGTGATACAGTAGCAGCTGAATTTTAAAGGAATGCCCTTTTAAGATTTATACTGGCTTTTAATAAAATATTTCTCAAAACCTGTCATCAATTGACTTTACTATTCTAGGTACCACTATTAAATCAAGTCTAAGACATTTAATTTCAAGTGAGAAAATGCCAAGCCTTTTAAGTCTATCAGGGTAAGATATATTTTAATTTCAGGAATTATTTTGGTAAAGTGTTTTTGTACTACTTTTTCCTCGCTGTGGTATATGATGCTGAGAGGAAGGTGAAAACAAACACAGAAAGTTTGGTTTGGTTTATTTAGCTTAATGGTATATCAAACTTTAAGGGTTATTTAATGCCAACAAGATTTTTCTGATAGGTTTGTATGAATAAGTCTTTTGTAAAGAATCATTTCGTAGATCAGTTTTCATTGATGTATTTTATAAAGACGGATTTTGTCAAGAGTCAAATATATTGCCGGTAATAATTTTTCTTCAGAAATGTATTGCTGGAAATAATTTTTCCTTCCAAAATAGGTAACAAAACCATATAGGTAAGCAGATTAGTAAACTGTTTTTTCTATATTTTTCTGTAGAGCCAATTCCTTTAATGAAATTTAAGATGCTACTTGGTTTGATATTTTCAAATAGAGCCTTTAAGTTATCCAATTTGTAGAATTTGATTTGAGTTTGCTGGAAATTACAGCAGTTTAGTAAGAAGTATAGACTAAAATAGGATAGAATAGTGATAAATAAAGCTACATAAAGTTTTCTTTATGTTGTGTGGAAAATGTTCTTTTTATTATAGTTAGTATGTGGTGGGCTTTATTTTGAATATAACTGCAATGATGTGTTTTTAGATTCAGTGGTCATGATTATTACTAAGTCATTTTTTTCTGTCTATATTCCCGAGATGTGGTATTATGTACACTATTTACATTATTCAGACTATTGTCCTCATCTTTGTCGTCATATTTACTACAACATTTCAGCCATTGTACGCTCTGGCCTTCTTCAGGTGGTTAGAATGTTGAACTGAACCCTTCATTTCCTCAAGGACACATGGCACAGTGGATAAAGGTATCAGTTAGATCCAGTGACAGGACCCAAGGAGTGTGAGTTCAATACCTGGTTAAGGCAGTGGAGAACTTGGAGAGGGGAATTAACAGGAGATAACTGGAAACTGACACCCATTAGACATGGCATGTGGAACTAGAACAGTCTACCCCAGTGAGCGAAATAAAGGGTTCAGTTTGACATTCCAACCACCTTAAGAAGGCCGGAGTGTACAACGGCCAAAATGTTGTAATAGATATGGTGACAAAGATGAGGACAATAGTCTGGATAATGTAAAGTCATTTTTTCTTTAATAGTTTTATGTATGACCTATCCAGTTGAATTTTGATGCTTAGATGCATGACATGACACTGTCCAGGGTTAAATCTCAAAAGCCATTTCATTGTTTAGGCACATAATGCATCCAGATCGTTCTGAAGAGTGCACTGAAAATGTAAAGCATTTGATGCTTGGAAGTTAACAAAATTTCATATCATTGTTGTATTTATGTATGCACCAATTTCTCAAGTAATCATCCACACAATCAACAAAACAATAAAAAGAAGTAGTCCAAGAATATGACTGAGTAGGACATCACTAGTTACAGATTTTCAATACAAGACAGCCGTTTTTAATGTAACAAATATTAAACTAAAGTCTGATTTTTTTTTGGGGGGGGGGGATTTGCATGAAAGATGGAGAATGGCATTGAATTTAAGGAAAATAAATAAATTTTCTTTAGAAAGTAGTGAAATTATGAAATTATAATTGTCACCATAAAATTTAATTGGTTAAATGTGGTTCATCTAATAGCATTGCCATCTTGGATATGATGATAAACTACATCCACATCCTGGGTAAGATGATAAACTACATCCAACAGCAAGGCCTCTGATCAGGAGGTTTTGAGGAGTGTGGAACCACCTCTTAATTGCTGGTGTTGGCACCTGTTAGGATACCAACTATGAGCAAATTGTTAACCCAAAACTGGGGTTAAAACAATATGATAGCGTAAAGATAGGTTTTTCATAAAAGAAATACTTTGTAAAAAAAAAAAAAATTTATAACCAGCAATACATTTTTGAAAAAAAAATATATTACCAGCTATACATTTTTGAATGAAAAATATTACCAGTAATAAGAATTGTCGGCATTAGATAACTCATTGAAGTTGATATACCACAAAACAAACCAAAACAAATTTAATAGCATTGTTTCACACTGATGATAGTTTTGAGGAGGAATTTGACCATTGAAAACACAGAGTTAAACAGAGAATAGGCCATACCAAATCTGGAAAGTTACTGATTGAGATTTATGAATGACTACTTACTTATCCCAAGCCCCAACCACTCCAAAAGGTCTTTCCTTTTGGCTTTTGACCAAAGAGTGCTTTAACAGTTAAACTATTTCAGGACAAGATTAAACTTGGCCACTTTTAGCAGAAAATACAAAAATGTCAATAAATTTTGAG